TAATATTAGAAACTAGATCAGTTAGTGTATCATAATAATCATTAAAACAATATATCATTTATTGAATTAATATACGTCAATTCAAAATGTACAACCGTACTCATATCAAATAAATACTGTATATTGATATATTAAGTAACATATTTTATATAAACATAATTAATTATTATTGAACAATGTTATCGTTTGAACTATTTAATTATTTAGTACATAAGTACATTCTAATTAATAATAAACAGTTTTATTTTATTTAGCTTTAATATAGCTTAAAATAGCCAAATAACAATGTAACATAAATAATTTTGGCATAATATTTATTGATATAATAACTATAAAATTTTATTAGTTCAACTATGCAGCTAATATAATATTTAGGGTGACCAGATATTTTTTCAATATTATGTTTAAAACTGGACAATTTGATGAAATGAGACAATATTAGAATTAATCCAAGTTTTAAAACTGGGCAATACTATCCATTACATTGTAATAGATCAATTACAAAACTGGACAATCCAGTGCAAAAATGAACATATGGTCACACTAATAATATTCCAAGTTCACATAACACAAATAGAGTATTTATGTAATTTTAAAAAGTTAGTTTTAGATTAAAATGAATAATTATTTTGTTAATTTTATCAAATTTTGAAAAATAATTAATTTGTAACGCACCAAATATTTTACATAATTATCTAATATTAACATTTTGTTGTTAAATTTCTTAAACATATTGAATACAAAAAAATAAAATTTAATTTATTTTTACATTACAATAAAAATTTAATTAAAATAATTAATTTTTTCGATGAGTAAACACGCTTAAAAATAATAATACTATGCGTACTATTATCTGAAAAGTAGATAAAATTTTAATTATTCATATATATATATATAATATTTAATTTTATAATGCGTTTAATTTTTAGATAATTAAGTAGAAATTTCAAATGAGCTAAATAAAGTATTTATGTTGTCAAAAACTATATTGCATAGTCCATGTATTACATGATTACATGTCATAGACACATGTTAAACACATGTTTTAAATATGGAATTAAATCAATTTAATAGTAGTTGTGATTCAGTGATATCAGTGTTGAGCTCATCTAAGATAGCGAAAGAAAAGCACGAAAATGTGGTCAAAACCATTGATTCATTAAAATCAATGTTTGAAATACAATTCAATTTAAATGCAAATAATGCTCAAAATTGTCAAACAAAGGACTCAACACATGATTCAATTGACAACACATTAATTGATTTGAATATAAGTCAAAACAAGACTCAAACATATGGTGCCAAAGAAGTCTTCAGCCAATTATCATCGGAACAGAAACTCGAAGAACTCTTCACTCAAGTCCTGGTAATGTCAGCAAAGGTGGACTCAAATACGGATCTCATTAACAGTCAACAAAAACTCATTTCTGATATCAATCTGAATATGAATGGGAAGGATCTGAAGAGTGATTCAAAGGATCGACAGTTCAATAGACGATTACCACCGAAGAAGTATTATAAAGATAATCGTAATCAAAGTGATAAGAGTTATAATCAACGAAATAGTGCTACAAATGGTCGACAGAACTGGAGATATATTCCCAAAGTCTATGATTATAGCAATACTAATGAGTATTACAGACGACCTGTTAATCCCGACCCAAGAGTATACTCTTATAATACCGCACATAACACACGGAATGACCATTTTTTGGTCCGAGGTCACGGTTACCACCAGTGGCCAGGTATCCCACCCTTCCCACCGTTATGGAGAAGTCAACCGCCGATAGCCAACCGGAGTTAAGTCAACAGAAAACTAATTTTCATAACTATTTAAACATAATGTGTGGTAATGTTAGAGGTTTAGCCAATAAAATCAATGAATTGGTATTATATTTAAATCATTACAAAATTGAAATTTTTATGTTGTTTGAGACACATTTAGATAATTGTTTTACAAATAATATGATTACTAGTGATTATTCAATATACAGGTTTGATAGAAATAGGTATGGGGGTGGGTGTCTAATAGGTGTTGCCAATAATATTATGAGCTATTTGTTAAATGATATCAAAATTAATTCAAACACTTTTGAGTCAATCAGTTGTATAATTCAAATATATAACCAAAAGTATATTTTATTTTGTTGTTATTTAGTACCGATTCCTACAAAAATACAAATCAATGAGTTTTCCGAAATAATACAGAAATTTGAAACTCATTATTCAGATTATAAACTCATAATTAGTGGTGACTTTAACATAAATCTATTAAATAAGGAAAACTATTTAACCAAAAAGTTTAACTTATTATTAAAATCATACAATTTATCTCAGTTAGTAACTAATCCTACATATCCTACACATTCAAAGTACAGTTCAAATAACTCTTTAATAGATTTTGTAATCACTAATGATATGGAAATGATATCAGAGTTAGAAGTTAACGAAAATATCACTGAAAAATGTGATCATTTTTTAATATTTTTAAAACTAAATACAAAACATAAAACTGAAACAAAAAATACTGAAAACAAAAGTGTTTTAATTTTTGATGAAAAAGGTTGTGAAAGTTTCATAACTAATATTCAATCATATGTCATTTTTTAATATTTTTAAAACTAAATACAAAACATAAAACTGAAACAAAAAATACTGAAAACAAAGTGTTTTAATTTTTGATGAAAAAGGTTGTGAAAGTTTCATAACTAATATTCAATCATATGATTGGCAACTAATATGCAAATCTGATGATATAAATCATATATATAAGCAAATCGTAGAAAAACTCGAGATAAATCTCAAACAATGTTTTAAACATAAAACATTCAAAAATAGACAAAAAATTGATTCAAAACTTAATTACTTAATGAAACTTAAAAAGGAGATTAATTTAAAATATAAATCTACTAATAATTATTTTTATAGGTTAGGTTCACAACACTTATATAACAGGATTAGCAAACAAATTGATTTTATTAAAAATACAGAGTTTAAAAGTTTATTAAATAAATCAAACAATTATTCAAAATTATATCGTAATATAAAATCCAAAATAAATGATACGAAAAGTGAATTTAAGATATGTATTGATAATGAGATTATAACTGATAAGCAAATAATTTGTACAGAATTTGCCAAAAGTTTTGCAGAAATATATGATAAAAAAGTTATAATTTTGTCACAAAATAGTTCAGAAACTGATTCTTGTGTATATGACTGGGACTTACAAATGACTGACATTTTGTCAATCATTTTGAATCTTAAGTCCAATAAATCTGATGGACTTTCAGTAATCCCAACAAAATTAGTTAAAAAATATCCCGAAACATTTACTAAAATATTTTACTACTTTTTCGAATCAATTATTAGATTGAATGAATTACCAAAAAGTATGTTGATTAGCTCGGTAACACCTGTTATCAAGGCAAATAAACCAGTTAATAATGTAAAATCTTTTAGACCAGTCTCTATTCAATTGAATTTTTTGAAATTATTTGAAACTTTTTTATACAATAGACTAAATGCATATATTATTAAGAATAACATATTACCAGACATACAGTATGGATTTAGACCTGGATACAGTACTAATAGACAACTAATTGAATTAAATTATGATTTCACAACATTTTTCAATAATAATGATTTGTTATGTATTGATGTTATATTTTTAGATTATTCATCTGCTTTTGATAAGGTTAACCATTCATTGCTATTCAATGACTTATATAATATTGGATTAAGGGATAAAGCATTAGATATATTTATAAAGCTATATGAGAATAGAAAACAAATTATAAAATGTGGTAATTGTCTGTCAAATCCTATTGACTGCACTTCAGGTGTAAGTCAGGGATCGATATTAAGTCCATTATTGTATAACATTTATGTCAGAAATATATATAAATCTATTTCGAATTCATTTATTAAACAATATGCTGATGATATTGTGTTGTATAAACCAATACATAATGAAAATGACTTAAAATTACTTCAAAATGATTTGATAAATATCCACGATTGGAGTAAATCTAGACATTTAACACTTAATCCGTGTAAATCAACACATTTACGTATAACATTAAGACATAATATTGATTTCAATGGTTATAACATTAATGATCAGGTTATTCCCACTGTTAATAATCATAAACATTTAGGAGTCGTAATTGACAATAAATTATTATTTAAAGAAAACACTATTAGTATCCATAAAAAGTGTATTAAAAAGTGGACAACAATTAAGAGATTATGTAATTATGCCACTTATGATACATTATTATTATTATATAAATCTTATATATTGTCAAACATAGAGTATTGTAACACTTTTAATAATCCAAACATAGCACAAATCAGGAAAATAGAGTCAATACAAAGGTATATCACAAACTATATATGTGTCAAAAGTGGTAAATTTGGTTTAAATTATATTCAGAGATTAGATTTTTTAAAATTAAAACCACTAATAGTTAGAAAGCAATTGAATGTTTTAAAACTTGTATTTAAAACAATTCATAATTTCGAAGGAATTCCCTCTAATTATAAGAAGTTATTTGTTTTGAATAAATCTAGAAACGGGAATCTAATTCATAAAATATTTACGAGAATTAATTTATGTGATAATAATATGTTTGTTATGGGTATCAAACTATTTAATACTTTGCCAATAGATATAAGAAATGAAACAAAATACTCTAAATTTTGTAAATTATGTTTAAGGTTTTTATACAGTGAATTTGTAAATACATATAAAAATTAGAAATTGTTTTCACATTACTAACTATTGTATCATTTCTATAATGTACTCAAGATTTTATATATTAATCAACACTCGTTATGATTAATAAATTATTCATTCATTCATTCATAATATTAAGTTCATGTATGAATTTATAAATTAGAAAAACAATATGAGATGATTCCCAAAGGGAAACTATAAATAATTTAAAAATTATTTTTGTATAAAAATTATAGGATAATTATGTGAAAAATTATTAATAGTTATGCAATTTATAAAATCTGTCCCAAAATGTGATCTCATCTTCAATCCAATCTATATAATTGGCAACATTTGTAAAAAGTGATGGTCGATCCCAGTCAAACGGCTCGGCCATTGAGGCCACACCTATGATGATAGCTCTTTGACGAGAATCATTGTAGTAGACAAGAGGTCCTCCAGAATCACCCTTCAAAACAATTTGTTTTCAATTAATGATTTAATTAATTGTTAGATCCTTGAAAATCATACATACAGACGAACTGCCCATTTGATTACCACCACTACATATAATATTCTCATCGATATAGCGGTTTAACTGATGTCGGCTTTCCACCGCATAACTTATTTTACACTTATCTAGGCTTACAATCGGCATATTATCAGCTTTATGTAGCAGTTGCTACATTTCAATGGCCAATGAATTAATAATGAATACAATACTTTATAAGCTATAAGTTATAGCATTAGACTAATGATTAGAATTGGACCTACAGTCTTATTATAAACAGGCATTTGTGTGTTAGGGTGCAGGTATCTAACTTGTCCCCATCCGGCCAAAGTGGACACCCCGTTAAACTTCTGGTCTTTATGTGGCAAACAAATGCTATTCACTAAATAATAACCAAATATTTGTACCATTCGTATGGGTTTCGTGACTCTAATGAGTGCAATGTCTGCGAAGTTGTCTTTATTGTCATCAATGATGTGGTATGTGTTGAACGGATGGCAAACTATTCTGGAGATCTCGCTCTCATAACCATACGTCCAGTTCACTGAACCAAAACGTATTTGTAAAATATCAGTGAAATTATTTCTACTATCAAATTGTGGGTAAACTATAAAATTATAAAATTATAAAATACATGAAGAATTGAATGCAAAACACTCACTACTGTTGCACACAATGGGCTGCAGTTATGATCCAAAAGTGGTTAAGTATAGCACCGCCACAGATGTGGTACTTATAGGTGGTGTTGTGGATCACTTGTAGTGATACCTGGAACCAAATTGATTTAGATGATTAACAATCTACTCATTCAAAAGTCAGTAACAACTATAAGTCCATACAATCCACGGAAAGTGTCCCCTCTTGGCGTCTTTGCCACCGATGCCTTCATTCCTATGATACGATCTCCGACTTAAGCCACACTCTGGAAGTGATATACCATTGAGTCCATGACAAGACTCAATATGATTACACAAACTATTAATTAAGTAAATCATAGGAATTACAAACATTACATTTATTGTCATATGTTCCCAATTAAATTAATTATTTGCAATATAAATGAATGAATGTTTGCAAATGTAATATTTTTAAAAATTAATTTTATATATTATATAACTTTCAAAGCAAATAATTGTTTTGATAAATTCATTAAAATAACAAAAAAAGTGATGTTTATGAATTTGTTTGGACTGTCAGTGGTGTTAAAATTATCTAAATAATTAATTCCCCAATCAAATCTTTTTATAAAACAATCCATTAATCTGTGGTTATATTACAAGTATTTTTAATTAATAGCAATAATTCCAATAGTTTAGTAATGAGTTATAAAATAAAAATAATTTACTTTTAACTTTGACCTCACTTTTGGAGTAGTTTTCACGAAAACATTGAAGTTTTATTAGCAAAAGTTTTATTAAGATCTTTGCCTCAAATTCTAGATAAATGGATTAAAATATGTAATACAAAGGTCTGTGTATTTTACATGTTTAATATTAAGACATAAAACTTATTGTGTAATTTTGAACTACCAGAAAATATCATAGATATATGTAGTACAGAATAAACTAAATTCACATTCAGTCGCTAACTAACAGCATAGTAAATGTTTGTCATTAATACCTACACTACACTAAAACATTTCCCATGTTTAGAAAGTTTAGTCTAAAATTGCAGTCATTTTTGCATATTATATTTATGTCATTCAATACATACAAAAGGCAAACCGTATGTGAAAAATGTCTAAACATGACCACAAATATTTCGTATGGCAAATAAATAAACAAATATACATTTCGAGTCCAAAGTTCTCGGTTTCTGGTCTACTCTTACTGTAAACACGAGTTATTCATCGCAAAAAATAATGACTCATTCAATGATTAGGAACTCCTTTTCCCCTGATTTCTATCAACATTACAAACAACATAACGTTTCGATAGAGACTAGGAGTCCGAGAGACTTATATCCAAGTGTTACATTTGCAACTCAATCTAAATTGCAAATCTATTTAAATAATTTACTTTCTAATGACACACTACATAAAAAGATAACGGGTCTACATGATGAATTATTTACCGAGATCATTGAAAATAAAGTGACATTTATTACGAATTCAATTCAGGCGGATATATTTTTTGAAACTCATAAAGGTTACCATGATAAGTTTGCGTTGACTGGCAAATATGTTGGTAACTGGGCAATATTTATCGTAAGCAAGAAGTTTCCATATAGAAATCAAATGGTGTTTGTGTATGTTGAATTTATTTATCAATATATTGTAAATAATTTATAATGAATTAATTTGACCTAGGTATAAGCAAAATATCGAAACTGGTCTAGAAATTCATCATAATATGATATGGAATATAATACAGAAAATATTTGAAACTTACCTCGAAACAATTAATGTTACTACCACAAATACACCCGTTCATAAAATTACACTTGTTGATTTTTACAGAAAGAATTTATCTATTTTAATTATTGGATACGTACTTTCGACATTTTGTTTTCTTATCGAAATTCTAAATTTAGATGAATTTTCTAGCTTTAAAACAATGCTTAATAGAAAACGGAAACATAAAGATTTTAAAATTGTAGCTACATGTATTAATATGATTTAGAATATTAATTATGTTCATTGAATTGTATTAATGCTTTAGTACAAATTATTAATATACTATATACTATTTTAACAAACTGATTATGGTAATTATATTTATAACATAACAAATATAAACATAATTTTGGATAAATTAAATATTTTATTATATAAATTTACGTATTAAATCGTATCATAAGGAGTGTTATGAATATTAACAATTTAAAATAATTTTGACATAAAACTAAAATTCTTAATACTTTTGAAATTAATTTGCTTTATAAGACAAGACAAGCTTAAATATTAATATTCATTGAATTAAATGACCTTAATCCTCATTTATTATGCTTTATTATTACGATGCACATTAAAATTAAGTGAACCAAGGTAAAATCCAAACACTTTCAAATAAAACGAGTATTTGTTCAGTTGTTAGCTTTTGTAGAAATACTGTAATTGTCATATATGTGCGATCAGTATAATAAATAGTTTACACCATTTCTTGTCTATTATTAATTTTATCTATTCTGTGGTAAGTATTTAAACACATAATAGCCTCGCCTTTGCCTCTAACCAGGGATAGGACTGGTGTCGGACGACAACTGGTCGTGGCTTTGGTTTCAAGACTACAGGACAGGTAGTCACCCGAAGCCAAACCCTCAGCGAGTGCTCAATACCGGTGAACAGCAAATGCGTGCTGTTATGCTGTAATATTATAACTTAAATTTTATCCAGTTTATTTTAAACATGATCATTATCATCACCACTTCAAGATTAAATATATTTGAATGAATGAATAATTTATTAATCATAACGAGTGTTGATTAATATATAAAATCTTGAGTACATTATAGAAATGATACAATAGTTAGTAATGTGAAAACAATTTCTAATTTTTATATGTATTTACAAATTCACTGTATAAAAACCTTAAACATAATTTACAAAATTTAGA